GTGAATGTATGTCCCATAATGAAAAATGCAGTCAACTGTTTTCATATAGTAGTTTGCATGTAGTCATTATGTCACATGACTCTACTGCATGTGTACCATCATAGTACTATGTGTATATGCAGATCGTACTAAACGAACAAATTAAATAAATATTGGTATTATCAAATTTCATGTCATTTTTTATCATGTTAAAATTTGACTATTAGTAACTTACCCCATATTATTGTTCCAATAATTCAATATGTACATCAATTGAAATAATATATAACTGGGTTCAATGATACTAATTTTGACATTAACTTTAAAATAAATCGTCATGTTTTGGACACGACACAAAACAATACTAGTTGTCCCATGCGTTTATACATATAATGACGAACAATACAGAAAATATGCAAGACATCTATTTGTATCTATTTGTATTTTTGTGGGTTTTGAAAGTAAGAAAGTAATGTCAATATGCATTTCATCTCTTTGAATGTCTTCAAACATATTTGGGATTACTTTGTCTATGATTTTGTAATGGTTTGATAACATAGTTTTAACTTGTCTTCAAAAAATAAATGGTCGTTTGTGATTTCGATGGACAAGTTATAACTATATATATAGTCATACAAGTGGAATACAAAGCCAGCTTTGCATAACTAATTCAAATAGCGTATCGCGCTGTTCAATGATCATCGATATCATTAATTTTTCAAACATATTCGAAGTGCAAGATCCGACAAAACAAAATATTACCAATTTCATGTACTAAGTGAGTGTATTTGGAATTACTTGGTATATGACTTTGTAATATGTGTTGTTTATATAGTGCAAACTTCTCTTACAATATAAATGGTTGATGTTGTACATGTTGTAGCTAGATATCACATAGTCATTAGTGTAGGTCATACAAGTGGAATTCAACAGACAACTATGAACATATTTTTCCGAAAGACCAGACGCAACAAAGTGCTACCAGTCACCTGCGTGTGTACTAAGTTCTGAACACATAATTACTATATATAAAGATGAAAAATACTAATAATATGGGATACATGTACTAAGGGAGAGTATTGGTATTTTTTACTGTACGGAATTATGAATCATGTACTAAAAGAGTCTATTGGTACTTTTTTTAGTTTTTTGAAATTATGAAAGCAATGTCAATACATATCAAATCTATTTAATCATTTTAATACACGTTCAAAATTACTTGGTATATGATTTAGTAATATATTTTTAATACATAGTGCAAACTTTTCTTAAAACATAAATGGTCGATGGTGTACAAGTTGTAGCTATATAATAGTGGAATTCAACGTATAACTTTAAATATCTAATTTAAATAATGTATAGCGGTGGTCAATGATTTTGACATTATAATTTTCTTCAAACTTTCCTAAGTACCACATCTGTCGTAACAAAATACTATCAGTCACCTATATGTGTACCAAGTGTTGGATGCATAAGTATTGTAGGTAAAGATGAACAAGACCAATAATAGGAGAGACGTAATAAGCGAGACAACTTGGAATAAGTAATTCAAATATGACGTATAATTTGCTCAATAATGAGTAATACCATTAATTTTCACTTTGATTTTTGCAAAAAAAAAAAAAAAAAACATCCAAACTACTAAATTCGACACAATAAAATACAAACATCTACCTTTGTTTGTACTAAATTGTACGTAGGTTCATCTTCCAAAAGTGACTAAAAATAAATACATGAGGTTACTTTAAGGGCGCAATACAAGATCGTCAATTTTATGATTCATCAATGCGCACGCAATGCGTGCTCGAACCGAATCCATAGAGAAACTCTCTACATATTTCAACATCCATTGAGTGCCTCTAGCATAACACTCTGCCCAAAAAATACATATGCACCACAATCCACGGTACCGTCTTGTTGTTGGCATTTTACCGCTTCAAAAGCGGTAGGCAATACAATCCCCAACTTAACACAAAAATATTTGCTGTAAAACTCAACCTACAATATTTATTTCATAAGTTTTTAACCAAAATAAATAAATAGGAGAAATACGTGTTGAAAAAATAAGAACTTACAATTTTCTTCACAACCGATTTGTATCTGGGGGTCATTGTTGAGTTCTATTAGAAAAACTATTTAAGGGTTGTGTCCAGAACTAGTAGGAACCAATGACAATCTCTCTTTATCGGTATAAGAATAAATCGATATGTCGAGAAATTGTTATCATTTATTTTCTCCAATATATTTTTTCACATTGAATTCATGTTATGCATCAACTCCTTATAATTACTGTCATTGATGGTAACAAAGTTAATGTCTTTAACAATTCTAAGCATTTCAACCTATGAAACATAGAACGATGTATAAGAAATACAAGTAGTTTTTATTGAATATATATATATATATATAATATAATCATTGATTTGATACATAATAGTTAACAAAATAGTATGCGTTAACCATACATGTACAATTGTTGAAATGTAGCAAATCTCATATCCGATTGAAGTGGAATGTCTAGATAGAGTGATCATGTAGCAATCTATGGTATCTCCAGAAAGTTTTTCACCAAATAGTAGCCCACAAATGCGCCTTCCATCGATCGCATATATGCGAGTTGTCCATAAAATTGCCCTATTGCATTTAAAATCATTTCTTGATATAATTTTTTATTTATGAAGACAAATACAACATACAAAATTCGTTACCCCAAATCATCCTTGGACATAAAATTGTCCAACATTTCTCTATCAACATCAGCAATCTCATCACGAGCTTTATAATCTTTCCGCCCACGATAGAGTTCATGTTCCTAAAACAAATTGTGCACAATTATATATTCAATAGACTCGGGAAACAATATAAAATAAATAAACAAACAAATGATACAAATGATCTTTAAAAATATGTACCACTTCTAACCCCAAGACATCCTCGGGCATATAATTGTCCAATATTTCGTTATCAATGTCAACAATCTCATCACGACCATTGTAATCTTTCCGCCCACAATAGATTTCAAGGTCATCCTAAAACAAATGGTGCACAATTATATATTCAAGAAACAATACAAAAAAAAATAATGTATAAAAATATATACCGTTTGTGGTGTTTCTTGTATAACAGTTTCACGGCTACGTCGCAGTGTTTTTTTCTTCTTCCACGTCCATATTTTCTTGCAATGACTCTAATTTTTTTTCATGGCGACGTGCTTAGTGCTGGTGGAGTAACAAAACCTTCCGCTCTCGTTTTTTCTTTCCTATCATTTCTATTTTGAACATTTCGAACAATAGAGGAATCGTAACGTCTTTTTGACCGTATTTTTCTTGTTTCTTAAGTGATTCCTCCTCTTCTTTCTCTTTTTCATTATCGCCCTCTTGTTTTTCTTCTTCATCATTTTCATTATCTTCTTCATTCTCCTCATCTTCTTTGCATTCTTCCATGCCCCTCTCTTCTTTCACTTCTTCATGCTCGTCCTCTTCTTTCTGTCCTTTACTCTCGTCATCTTCTTTATCTTCTTTATCCTCCCCTTCTTTATTCTTTTGAATATCACCAAATTCGGAGATTAGATTCACAAAATCCTTTAAATAAAATAAAACATGACAATTAATATGCATTTAGTACAAATAAAGTCGGAAAATATCACATTGCAGCTCCTATTTTGTATAGATAAAGTCATAAAACTGTAACAATGGAAGTTTTAAAATCTTACAGATGTGCTTGTCAAAAAGTTATCATCCCTCATATTCATACCATCGCACTCTTCTTCCTTGACAAATTGGTCATTTTGCGTTTCAAAATCCACATATTTATTCTTAAAAGATACAAGTTTGTGATCTCTAGTTTTACGAAATGCTTCTAGCTCCTCAATTTTCTTCCTCAAAATTATAATTTCATCATCTCTAGCTTTGAGAAGAACTTCTGCTCCGATATTAGCTGATGGAAATTCACTATTAGTACAATCATCTGAATAAGTGGGTGGAAGATCAATCAACTAGTTCTCTTGGGATTTGGAATAAACAGAACAACCTAAGTAAAAAAATAATTAACACAAAAAGATATCAATGTACTTCATAATTTTACATTAAATAGAGAAAAAACAAACAAGTGGTACTAACAAGTTATTACCTTTTCAGTTGTAAGTTCATCAAGTGCATTTTGAAATTTAGATTCTTCTCGGCCCTTCTTGCTATTGTCCCACCTAAAAAATCGAGGAAATGCTTGTCGGTGACCCGATAAAGGGGACCGTTTCATAAAACCAAGCCTGCCAGTTTTATAAAAATGCATAGGTTATGGAAATTAAGAATCAAAATACAAATAAAAATTGATATTAAAATATATATTACTTACTAATTAATGGTGCAACCATTGATGTACGTCTTCTTTTGGTTTACATGTGCCCTCATTTCGCCGATCAAGTAATCAGAAACAACTTTTCCCCATGAATAAGAACCTAATTCAGACAAATCCTCTAAATAGTTGCCTTGAGGAAATAATACACAATTACAAACAAAAAGAATGTATATTCTACATAAGTCATCTACACAATCATCCCTCGAAGCTAATTCTAATAATCGGTCAGCTAATTCATTCCGCAAAGTGTTTTATTTTTTTTCCGGAAAATAGATCATCAATAATCGAAGATTTTATCTTCAATTTTAAATCTACAGCGTGCCCCTTATGTCACAACCCCATCACCATAGAGAACTCAGAAGCTTCAAAAGGGACCTCAACATCTTCTCCAAACTTTAAAGACATTTTCTTAACCTAAAAATGTCTCATAATAGCTAAAACCTTAGTAAAACTATGAGTGAGGTTAGGCTTATTCAAAAAAATCCCAAATAGAGTGCTTTTGATGGCCTCCAGTTGTGCAGTTCATCTTTGCTTTTACTTGATCCAATGTATTCTTTATGTTTGATGGAGAACGACGCGAATATAGCGCACACTTCTTTGACTCCTTAGGGGCCATTTCTGAAGTGAACAAACAAACAAAGATTATTAATATAAAAAATATATTAAGCAAGCATCTCAACCATACAACCTAAAATTATAAAACAAAATGCAATTAACTAAACATTCTCTCAATCTGCACTAATATTACTTGCAAAACATGACAGAAGACAAAATATTAAGAAAAAAATTGCATTGTACTAATTTGCCCGATTTTAAATACCAAAATACATACAACAATAAACTAGATTACTACAAAGCATAAAATACGAACAAATAACCATTGAAAATCATAGTTTTCAAAAACAAAATAGAGCTATTGCAAACTCAAATAGGAAAACACAATTTAGGCTTAAAATATTTGGGTTCAAATTGGATTTTTATTTTTTAGAAATCCAACCTGAAAACTAAAACATAAACAAAAAAACTAACATGAAAAATCTCATATCTTTGCTTTTGCATTTTTTTCGTTTTTCCTCTCTGTCCTTTTCCACTTTGAGAGCGAATACCACACCAAATAATTGGGTATTTCAGTTTTCTTGAAGTGTTCTTGATTATGGAAGAATTTAGTTGAGAAGAGATGACACCTTCAACTGAAGAAGAAAAGGTAAATATTTTGGTTCTTCTGTTGTGTTGAGCGCGAATTACTAGATCGGTGAGAGAGAGGAATTTGATAAGAGAGACAATTCTTGTTTAAGTTGTCGTTTTCTTTTAGAGTGAGGGCCAATACAATCTTTTCACATGAAGGTGGGAGGTAAGTGTATAGAATCAACAATATAGGGAGTTTATTATACTTTAATTGAAGTGGGGAGATAAATGAAAGTTAAAAGGCAAAAGGATTTTAAACCCAAAAACCCTAAAAAAATACTCATCTCACTAAATAGTAGAGTATTGCACCGAGCCACCTAACCTCAATTCCCAAACACCAACACCTTATTTCTTCTCTTTTTACTGTAATCGTTTTCCTTTTCCTTTTTTTTCTCCAATCATTACCACCCATTAACCCATCAAGCCACCATTGAAGATCTCAGCTCAAGACACAGCTCGAGCACTAGCGCCAGTGTCCCATTAAAGCCATTTTCATCGTCCAACAACGGTTTTGACTAGGTTTTCTTTCATTGTTGATTTTTTCTTCTCCCTCCACTATCTTGCTAATTTAATCTAAAAATGATTTCTAAAAAAACAAAATTTTATCTAGGTTCTGGGTTCGCGGTCCGACGGGCCAAAAAACCAGGTTTTATCAATTAAACCGGTGTTTTTAAATTCGCGCCTGTGAAGCCAAACAGACCAGACATGGCAGCGGTTCGCGGTTGAACCGGTCGAACAGGCCGGTCTCGTCCGGGATTCAAAACATTGTTGTGAACAACCGTAATATTATTACTGTAACGACAGTAATATTCCGTCAACCAGAGTAATACTACTATGTTTATAATAATATTACAATAGTAGATAGTAATACTATTACGTTAACCGGTTAACAAATCAATCAAAATAAAAAGACAAAAAATAAATATTGATGTTGTTGACAATAATATATATTTTTGTGTTTATAGTAATTTTACGGGCAACGACAATAATGTTATTTCGCTGACTAGTCAACATATCAAACAAAATAAAAAAGTCAAAAGAATAATAATGTTGATGTAGTTGACAATAATATTATTTTATTTATAGTAATTGTACTATCAACGACAGTACAATTACTGTCAATGACAGTACAATTACGGTCAAGGTTCAGCGCCGGGCGAAAAAAAAAATGGATACAAATTTACGGGAAACAAAAAGTCAACGCTAGAGATCGGCATTGACCAGATCAACTCCGGAAAACAGCGATGTATAAAAGTGAAGAAAAAAAAAATCTAAAAAAAATCAACGCCAAAACCCGACAGCGAGAAAGCAGATAGGAGGGGAAAGAAAGTCAACGCCGAAAACCCAACGGTAAAAAAACTACAAAAAGAAAACGCCAAAATTTAATTTTTGTTGTCAAAATTGTAGAAATTGAAGTTAAGTTGGGATACAATTAGAAATTAGGTTTAGAGGGACCTCTTCGAGCATTAGCTTTAAAGCCTTCGTCACCTGGACGGTGCGTTGAGGGGCTCGGCTAACGTTACCTTGTGGTGGCGGAGGTGCACTGTTATTGTCTAGTGGAAGTGGAGGGGCAGCGATGTTGTCTTGTGTAGGAGAAGGGGCACCGATGTTATTTAGCGGCGCTCGATTTCCCCATAATGGGGTGGTGGAGGATTCCTCATCAGGTTGGTTACGGCGGAGGTAGCGTTTGCGTGATTATCTGGATTATGTCTACGTCGCGATGACATGGTTGGCATTCTTAAGACGGCGCCAGAATGATGACGTAAAGGATTATCTTGATAAATTGGTACAGGAACAGGGGGCAGATTTGTTGTGCGCGAGCAGATGATCCAATCATCTACAGAGGAAGACTTGATTATCAAACTTGTAAAACCAAAGCAAGTGAACTCAGCCAGGGGTTGATCTGGCGGAAACCCCTCCAACGATCAAGTTAAACGCTAGCATAGAAAATAGGGTAGAGAGCACAAGATCAATAGGACTCAAGAGATTTTTTAGAACGTACCTTTTCAATGAGGTTGAGGTGTTATTTATATTTAATTCATAGTAAACTCCTAATTAGCATATAGGGTCGTTGCGTGTACATCAAGGTCTAAAACCGTTACTAAGGCACTGTTAAATATTTGACTTTTGAGTCAAATAAAATTTGATTGTTTTCACTTTCTTAAATATTTTTTTATTATTTCCGAATTTACTATTATTATTGGATTTATTATTTTAATTCGGATTTATTATTTATAGTTAGTGGCGGTTATTTTTAGCTTAGTAGGTAATTATTTAAGCACATGTTTAATCAATCGACTAACCCATTATCTCTCCTAGTGTGTTTATTTTGTACAGGCCAAGAGCTCTCAGACTGTATAAATAGGAAACGAACTCAATTCATTTTTCACATTTTTTCCAAAAAGTTGAGAGCATAGAGCTGCGGGTTTTGGAATTTTTTTTCCAACACCCTGTTTTCTTTATAGATTTGCCACTACAGAATTGAGTCTGTTTTGTATTGAATATCATTTAATACCAGTTTGCATTCCTAGAGTGATGTTATGTAACATCATCATAGATTCTAGAATTGGTTTACGAAGAAATCAACTTGTCATTTTCTTTTAAGAAGAGAAGATCTTTGCTTCTCATTTGTATTCTTTTGAATACTGATTTGTATTTGTAGAGAGTTGTTAAGCAATATTGACATACAATCTAGGAATTGAATTGGTTTACGAAGAAATCATCATGTGATTTTTTATTACAAGAGAAGATCTTGACTTCTCATTTGTATTCTTTTGAATACTGTCTTTTGCCTATGAAGGCACCATCCACAAGTTATATACTTATGGATAATGATTTAAAACTCGTGTCATTTATATTTCGCTGTATAATCTTTTTCAACACAAGTCTTTGTTTCTTTGAAAGAAATCTCTGATTTTATATTTATTTATATTCATCCGCACCAATTCAGATGCATTCAATTCTTTCAATTCGCATCAAGAGCCAATACTTGACCACTTGACCTATACTAAGTGTTGTATCCTCTCGTTATTTTTGTTAGAGTAGGTGACCAACAAGCGAACTTGTGGCTGTGGTATTTCAATTTATTCTTATAATAAATAATCATTTTTCGTATTTATGATAAAAACACATGGGCATTCTATATCTTTGTCCCTTTGTCTCAAACATAGATATAGTCCTTACAGTTATTACAAGTACTAGTAATTGATCTTTAGGATCGTGAGATATTTACATTAGTATTATAACTGTTAAACATGTTCCTAGTCGAAGGGTTCCGCCACCAATGAGGATATCGGACTTTCCCATTAAGAAACTTTATGTGTATTTTTTATGTACTCTTGCTTGCTTATGTGAATCATTTGGTGGGAGGATGAGAGAAGGGTAAGTAGAAGGGTGCATGTGTGGGTGCATGAGTGTCATGAATTTTTAAAAAGGTAAAAACATGATGGAAAGTCTTTCGAGGCTACGGTAAATATCTCGGGTACGCCGAGTCGGTACCGTAGGCTCTAGGGGTGGTTTGATTCCACGTAGATAGACGGATTCGAAATATATGAGGTTATTTACCGGTAACTTAGATTGACTCTTCTGAGGGATTCCTGATGATTTTTCATGTCATGCATGTTGCATTATGGTGTTGAGGATATAGATGGGAAAATCTCACTCTATGGTCTTGGGATCGTAGGGTTATAAAGGTGAGAGATTCTCATCCTACAATCTTCAATACATGTCATGGCATAGGGTTATAAAGGTGGGATATTCTCACTCTATGGTCTTGGGATCATAGGGTTATAAAAGTGGGAATTTATCTCACTCTATGCGTGTGACAATTATGTGATGAAACACGTCGACGAAAAAAGGGAAGTATATGATTGCTTTAATTAATGTTGCATGTCCATGTATAAGGTATATGTACGTATATATATATATATAGATATATCTATGCTCTATGTGTTATAAGTATTCGATAATAATTCAAGATTCTCATTGAGTCCTCAAAGGCTCATATAGGTGTTGTATGTCTGTAGGTATACCCGTTTTGGAGCCTGACGAGTGAAGTTGGGAATCGAGCTCGAGAATCGGAAGGAGATCGTATGGAGGGGATGTGGATTGTGTTGGCTACTACATCATCTATCTCAAGACAAGTTAATAGTAATGGAAGTGTTGCTCCAAGTGACACAACACCATCAGCAACACCCTGTACAGTTTCAGCAGACACGGAGGAGTTTGATTCAGATACAAATGATCAAAGTATAGATGTGCGCAGAAAAAGAGCCATCTAGAAGAATTCAAAAGAATCTTCCCATCTCACAATTTGTTGGAGATGTCTTTGATATAATGCGCACAAAGGGTAAGGAAAAGGTAAACTATATAGAGATGGTAAAACTGACTTCTTTGTCCACCTTATGTGTTGTTCATGATGTTGGGGATCGGGCACGTAAGTGTACGCAGCGGAAAACAAATTTTTTTATTTCATTTATATAAACTAATTTCTATAAACAAACACGTGCACAATAATTACAATTAATTGCATACCTTTTCTCTTCCAATCACCGACAAACATGCTCGCATGTATAATTAATTTAAATAACATAAATTAAAT